GCTTTCTGCAAAAGAAATAAAAAAATATTCCAATATAACCACTGAGTCTAAACTGAACTGTGATCAAGATCTTAGGCAAGTTGAGCACGTTCAGAGCAGCTGTGGAATTAGCAGTAATGGCACTAGCAATCAATGGAAACATCACATTGTAGGACTATGTTTAACCAGTTTTTGTTATCCCTAGTTAAAAAGTAAACTCAAGAAGTTGACAATATTTACAGGGTCAGAGAAGTCACATAATTGCCACCCTGGCAGCACAGCAAGCTCCTCAGTGCTAAACAGGAGTATATTTTTCCTTTGTACAGAGACCTGCTAAGTACCCTCTATAGAATTCCTTTTATTGCACTGTTTCAGCCACATACAGGCTGCAAACCTCAACTTTAAGTGTTTTCTTGTTTCAACTCTTAAAATTCCTTTTGCATTAAAAAGCACTGTGGATCTACAAAGAATAGGAACCACCAGCTTTGGGAAGGTGTGTAGCCTCCAAGAATACCTGCTCATTACTACAGCACAGCCAACCAGTGCCTGAATGGACTTACCTCCACCTTACTGCAAGCATATGACAAAATATCCATAATATTTAACTCTTGAAATACCATTTGATTCCAATATCAAAGCCTGCAGATGTTACTATTTTACCAGGTCACCAAATATGTATTTTTCTTTTAAGAGACCAACCTACCTATTAGCAAAGACAACTCAAATAAGCTCCTAAGCTGTCAAAACTTAGACAAGCAATATATTACCTCCTCTAAAACACCCAAACCTGCTCAGAAGTCGAGTTGAATTCAATGGACTTGCTAGAACTCAGTCTTTAAACAGTAACTAGCAGTTACTGCATGTACTTATTAGTCAGGAAGCACATACACAGCTCTGAAAGCACCCTCAACAACATTAATTTTTAAACAGATAGGAAAGTGAGCTGAAGGAGAATTTAAATAGCATCTTGAAAGATACCCTAGTAAAATGAGCTCTCCTCACAAAAATCACCGTTAGGGGTTTGAGCAAGAGTCACAATTTCCTCTGAAGGACTACACATCAAAACCAGTGTTAGAGAGCCAAAACAGCCGTTGCAGGCCTAAATAAAGAAAGGCAGGCATTGAGTGTTGGACGTGGTGTTAGCCACAACAGGAGGATACTTTCAGCAGGCTGAGGGTAAGGTATGACACAGGAGAGCTGCGCTGACGTTTCACAGCTCTGGGCCTGCAGCTAGTTTAGAACTGAAGGAACAAACACTCACCCACATCCGTAAGCACAGCGAGTGCTCACACAAGCCTCTTCTCACCCTGTTTGCAGCACCTCTGCTCCTCTACTACACCACCAAGGCAGGCTGCCCTCTTCACAAACACCTTTACATGTTCAACGTGCAACTGCGATTGTGTTTTGTGCTACTGGATTTTAAGCTGCTTGCCTTACAGCAAACACCACACAGCATCTACATGATACTCCCACAGTGTCTGCTCTAAACACAGACAACACTCAGATGACACACATCTTACAGCCATACAAACTCTGAGCTACAAGACATGGTTCTCTCTGCAGCTGTGCTCCAGTTGTGCCTTAGTCCACCTCGGATGAACACACTGCAGAATCTCTAAAGCTTGAAAGGAAACACACACAAAGAGCCATTTAGAAATAATGAAAAATAAAAGGTTGATGCCCAAGTGATCAAAACAATTCTGATCCTACCATCTAAGACAGACTTTAGTCATCTCTAATGACTGGTCTGTTTGCTAGTAGCAAACACCTGCACAGCTTTCAAACTACTTATGCAAATGTCAAAATAGTGCATTTGCTCTACATCAAGAGACATTTAGGGGAGGAAAACAAGAGCACACACAACAGGAAACAAAATGAATGCTAAATCTGGAAGACAGGAAGAAAGAAGCTGCAAGGACAACAGGAAAAAAGTCAGAAAAAGCCAAGACAAAATGATTATTCACTACACCAGATTAGATTTTAAAGCATGTTTTCATGACACTGCAGACTAACAGCCACAAACTTGGATGAGATCACAAGAAAACCAGATTGTTTTATATATATTTGTTGTTTCATATATATACATACACACACAGTCATAAGTATATTTCCAGAAAATTTAGGTTATATTTGTTTGCTTTCCAGGCTGCTGACAATCTTCCAGAAAGCTTCTGCCACACTTTGAATATTTGAATTCATTAATACTTACAAAAGACAAAAATGAATATTTTTTTTTCAGCTTCTAAGAAGGTGGGAAAATTCCTTAAGTTTATTCACTTCAAATTATTAGATACATTTTAAATCTTAAAATGCATTTAGAGCAAAAATTCCTTGAACTACATTGCAGATGAAACAAGCAGCACTTAAAAGGGATCAGGTGCCAAAGCTCACACAACTACCAAGTCTGACACTGGAAGTGTCAGATTTTTTAACAAAATCCCTGGCTGTACCTGAAGTGCCATTCTTTCTGCAGCTATCTCTTGAGCTGCTGTATGAATCTCATGCCCTGACTACTCTAACCTCATTCTTTTCTCTGACAGAGCAGGGAATTGAGAAAGTTACCGTGCACGGCAGCAGGAAAAGGGTGTCTGATGTTTGCCCTTCATAACAAAACAGTATCTGCTGCTTCCTGGGCTGAGTGAAAAGCTAAGGAAGATGTAATGAGACTAGCCAGGATGTAATTCTGCTTTTATGCTTCTGTTTACAAGTCTCACCACAGTTGCTTCCCGTGTAAGCTGTTTATTCATAAATGGTACAATTAGCAGCTCCCCAGAGACTCCCACTGGGGCTGTGAGAAAGGAACCCCCTCCTGGAATCCTCTTTCTGAAGTTCACATTATCCATTTAGATTTTCCCTGCCCCCTTTTGTCAATTAGCTGGACTACAAACTGCCTAGGATGATTAACTCTCTGGAATTATTTCTCTTTGCTTCTCTCTGAAAAAAAAGCAAGGGACTGGAGGTGAGATATTGGACTTATAATTGACATAGGTCTCATTTGTTCATCAGATGTTCCATATTTACAATGGATACATCACAAGATATACCCAGTTAACCACAACAAATAATGGATAAATTCTAAAGGGTACTAATAAGGATAAATACACCCTTTTAGCCTACTTCTGGAGGCAACAGTAAGTGTTCCAGCAGCTCTATTACATGGGAGCAACACACCAAACTGTTTTCAAGATAAATGCTACTGGAAATATTTTAAGAGCAACCTCCTGCACTGTAAAAATCAGTCAGTCTTGAAGGATAATCCATATTGTTAATATTTCAAAGGATGACACAACAAAATGACTAGTTCCAGAGGAAGACCCAGAGACTAACTTTAATCAGTTTAATCAATTTACTAATGTAAAAAGTGCTTCTCATGCTGTGGCTCATTTTGATCTGAGTGAAGGCTAAAAAAATGGTTTTTTTCCACTAAACATCACCCCATCCACAAAACACACCAGGCTAATGAACTCTTTCTCCCCACACTCATTCTCTTCCATAACACCTTCTGAAAATTCCAGTCAGCAGCATCTCCCAAAACCCACTCTCACTTGCAACAAGCCAGCTGTGCCTATAATAATCACATTCTCCCAAGGCTGGGAGGGATACAATATTTTACCTATCTTTTGACTTCATATATTACACTGAACCTCATTCCTGAAAGCCTCAAACAGGTAACTAAACATTTAAAAGAAGCAGGTGTAGCATGTGAAGATGCCATATTTACACTCCCCCAACAAAGAGCCCTATCTCAAAGAAATTATGCTCAACAACAATCCAGAAAGAAACTTCCATTTCTGAACTCATTCTTCAACACTGTCAGTGAAAAGTGAAACATACTTTTCCAGAAGGCCACTATCATAGTATTTGGTTAGAGTTCAGTATTATACCAGAAGTGTGTGCCAGCACTTTTCCACACACCCACACATACACACCCCCCTTGCCCCCCCCCAGTAATTCAAGCAAATAGTTGCCAGGGCGTTAACCACATACTCTCCCCAGAGCAATTATGTTCACCACTGAGTGGTTTCCACTTTTTTCCACTGGTTGGTTATTTACTTTTTTTTTTTTTAGAGTGGTATTTTTTTTTCTTTCATTCAGCACCTATTCCAAAACCCTGAAAAGTTAAAAATGTATTAAAAATGTTTTAAAGTTAAAAATGTAGGTCTTGTACATCTCTGTCTGTTAGACCTGCTGCCAACAGTTAGAGAAATATGGAGATTAACCCTTTCCAGAGCTTTAGTCTACTCTTAAATCACCCTGGCTCTCCTTTTGTTAAAGCTGGATGAAAGAAGGACAGTACAGTGCTCATCAGATTCATGTTATTTTATTGAAAAGAGCCTTATAAGCAGATAGAATTGCAGTTTCCACCTCCACCTATCCTTTTCTGTAAGTACTATTCACCTTGAAGATGTCCCTTGATGTCAACTATGCCTTCTGAACAAAATCAAGAGTTAGCAAGGGTGGCACCCCAACCTACCTTAAACATGAAGTTTCCAATGGATCAAAGTTATGAGGATTTAGTAGGATATTTTATTAACAGAAAACAAGGTTACTTCCCCCCACCTCTGGAAATACTGGACAGTTTCTGTTTCCAGAAAAAGGATAAGTTCTGTAAAGCCCAAAGACCAATTACAACAAATTTAGTTTTTTAGGTTTTGGATCACTGTTTTGCTATCTAACATAAAATATTCCATTTCCTGAAATTGCCAGAAACATTGTCCTCCACTTGATCATCCTCTCTCTCAAGGCATTCTCTACGTGAGAACACAAAACCTTTCCACAGCACTTTTATTGCTTATATTAACCCAGCACATCTGCACCACACAACAACTAAAGGCTCTGCAGGCTCTGAACACTTACTCTGCTCTCAGATTTCAACATATTGAAGTATAGTTTACTTAAATCTCTACTCTTCCATCTCTTCAAAGCCCATTTCCATGTACAGAGAAGATATCACTCAGCAGACAATCGTTCACGAAAGAAAATTCCTATCTTAAATATCTGAAAATATTTCTCCCCATTACCTGGGCTGGGAGTTCTCCTCATACATCCTTTCCTTCCCTTCCTTGAAAAGGCTGATGGTCTGCTTTGTTTTCTTCATCAGGTTCTCCATGAAGACACGGAAATACTCATTTTCCCCTAGGGTCTCCATCTTCCCCTCGTAGCGCGACAGGATGGTTCGGAGATGCTGGTAGGTATCAGGCAGCAGATCTAGGATATAGGGGGGGCTGTTCTTCAGTGCCAATTTTGGGTTCTGACACAAACGTACCACCTGTGGGTAATGAAGAAAATACCATTTCAAAACAAAAGCAAGCAGTGCTGGTTTAAACACAATTCACTGTTATTTACGTGCAGTTTCAAAAACACAGTTCAAGAAAATTCAGCATGGAGTTTGTCAATGGTAAGGATGTGACTTGTCACATATGGATCTGGTACTTCCTGCCACATTTCATGTTTCTTTTCAGTACTTCACCTGTCTAGCTGCCCCAATTTTGGCTGTAAAAGTGACTTTTCACACTGACCCATATAGTCAAGACAAACATGCCCGGAGAAGCTGCACTGCTACAGATATCACTGATGCAAGTAACTGTCCCCAGGCTGAAAGTATTTGAAGGCAACAGTGCTAGAAGAATCTGCTTTTCTTCCTCCTTGAGTACATACACAGACTAAAAGAAACAACAGCTTTTATGGATAATGGAAACCATCAAGAAAGCATGAATGCAAAGGAACTCTGTACAAGAATGAGAAAGAAGCTGTAGCATAAGAGCAGCACAGGTAAAAGTTGATCTTTCCAGAACTTGTGTCCCTAATTATGCATCAACTTGGCTTCTAATTTGTTAGATGAATCCCACAGCAAAATGCTACTCTTGACAATAATTTCTGTGAGTTTGTGTCTTGGGGGTTTTTTAATAACACATCTGCAGTGATACCAGTAATGAGATTAAGGGGTTATATGATGACCTCAACCTGCCTTACACTTAGCACACAACTCAACATCTCATTTCTCTTCCTTCCAAGCCACGTGTTCTCTATTTGTATTTTTAGCAGCAAGATCACACATTCTCAAAGTTAAGAACACAACTCTCTCAACCCAAATTTTTGCCATGTACAGCAAATTTATTGGATCATCAATAAAATCATTTTAGCCACTTTTGCATTATATAGTTAAGCTACAAGTAACAAGTGGAATATTCCTGTTCAGAACTCACAAGCCTCACAACTGTTATACCTGTACATGAACAAATCAGGATGCAAGCTGAACTTAATATAGGTCTTCAATATATAGGAACATAAAATTTGTGTGCTAAAAGCTCATTGGAGTAAGTTTATGTGAAAGGGAAGGATAAAGGAAGCCACTTCACCAATCATCATAGACAAAATTTTCTATTATCTAGCCTGAGAGAAGGATAGGGAGAGATAATGGCAAAGCAGGAATCTGAAAAATTAGGGATGCATTTCCAGTTACAAGAAGGGCTGAAATTCTAGAGTTGTGAGACAAAGCTCACAAGATAAGAACCAGCAGCTGGAATAGTCTTAACTGCTGTCTTGCTGGCTAACAGTTTCTATCTCTGGCAATTCACAACAAACTTGAGAGGAAGTCCAGGAAAAAAAATGTAGATCCAGTTGCCTGGAGTTCTCCAGTACAATGAATGTTACCTGGCTGCTTAGTACCAACCACATGAATGAAGTTTAACACCCTACCAGGCAGAAGAGTATTACAGCTATCAAACAACAATACAGAAAGCAAAGCTGAAGGGAAGTGGATAGGAAAAGGCAAAAGAACAATCTAATGTGTTTTTGCAGTGTGTAATTTCCACAAAATCTTGTGAAGCCTTCAAGAGGAATTGACTACTCCCCTACAATGCATATTAAATACCTACTTCCCCTTAACACTTCAAGGCTGATGGTGAACAAGAATGCTTTAGCATTTAACTTCACCACTCAGGATATATGCAAAAAGCAACCTTGGGCAGTTAAGTGACATCTCCAACATATCTGGCTTGCAGTGGTGCCTCTACTAACAGCTCACAGAAAAAGACCCAATTTCAGTGAAGAGAAAGGCACTTAGAGTATTTGAAATCAAACAAAAATTTGACTGCTATCAAAAGAATCAAATGCCTAAAAAAGCCTCTGAAAGAATATATGGGGGAAAAAAAACTACCAAACTTTCTCCTCCATTTTGAAGGTGCTGCCAAGGATTAGGTGGTCCAGAACAGGAGATGGACAGTCAGATAATTAACTTATTCAGCTGGTTCTGATGCCTCAACTGCTGCTTCCTTGGAGCCTGTGAACGTTGCACAATGAACCATATCAACAAATAGAGTCAAGACCATTTGTCCCCTGAATAAAACTAATTTCACCATGCAGCATGAATAGGTTCTAAATATGCTCCTCAGGCACAGCTGAATTGTGCTATGGATAGCAAAATCTTCTCTTCAACAGTTTATTGCACTGTGGGTTTAAAACCTTCATAAAAACAGTCAGCTCTTAGGAGGATGCCACATTAAGCCAGCACACGGGTCAGAGTATGCACTTCTCTCAGTCATCTGTAATAGAAAACAGTTTGGCTGATACCCCTTTAAAATACCCAGCTATAGAAGCAGCAGACTCACTGTGTTTCAGTAATGTAACAAACTTTAATATAAATTAAAAAGATTGCCCAACAGAAAAGGCAGCTCTGCAAAGTACTCATTCTTCTAGCCTCTGAAAAACACTTCCCAAGAAGTGACTTGCAAAAGATACCTCAAACAGTTAACAGAAAGGCCAAAAACTGCTGAGATTTTATTATCAAATGAGCTTCTTTATTTATCAAGTAGACCAAGATTGGCTAAAATACACATTTAAACAAAGCTACGTAACTGGGAACTGCTGCCTCTTGAGTAAACTTGGTCATTTTATAACACAGAAGCAGCAAAACCCAGTTGCCTTTTGGTTGTTTCTCTACGTGTGCACTTGCAGCATCGTGACGACGTCAAAAGGAATGTTCCCAACCCTGGGAACAGCCTCCCAGTCAGAGAGCTACCCTGCCTTCCACAGGGACCAGCAGTGTGGAAGGAAATGGAGCAAAAAGCAGCAAATATTTTCCATGAGGTGTGATGGCAACAATCACAAGCAATTCATGTCCTTAAACTACTATCTAAACTCATCCAAGTTTGCCTGGCTTCTGCTTTGTTCTCTCAGGAAAATGCCTTTTACAGAGACTTTTCTGGGGTTTTAGAAATACTAATAAAGCATTTCAAGCTTAGCATGAGGATTCTAAGAGGGTGGCCTGTGAAGAACCCTAAAATTGGCTCCACCAATTCTCATTTTACAAACTCAAGAGGAGAAAATAACTAAAGAACCCCCACCAAACAGCTTCCCCCTCAGTTTTCAGGAAAGAATCTGTTATCTATTCATTCAAGGGGGGAAAAAAAAATAAATCTTGTGTAGATTTTCCAGGCCTGGAACTGAGTCTTTCCCCCCATGATTCTGCAGCTTGCCTTGACTGATTTTAAATCCTTCTCTTCAGCACTGCTTCATTAGACTTGCACAAATAAAGGAACTGGGGAACTAGTGGAGGAAAACAGTGACACTATATACAGAGCACTGCCACAGGCACAGTGTAGAGATAACCTGAGACACACAGCCAGAACCATGAGCTTTTTTACATGTTGCAGTCAGGTTACACAGCTGGATAAGGTACACCACCTTCCCACTTGCCTCAGACCCAAGGCAGTGTCACTAAGTTCCAGGCCTGACAAGCTCCCAGGTGACAGTTTTTCCTTTGCAGCTCAGGCCCCTTCAGAGCAGTTCTGAAAAGCCATCATTCTTTCCTTCCTTTAAGAACTAAATCACCAACTTCTTTACTGAAATCACAGCAAGAGGAAAATAAAAAGAAAAAGCTACTCAAACTTCTGATCTCCTGCTGATCCACTTACTGCTGAAGGTGACCTACAGCAGTACTAGTCTTTATCAGCTTTAGAAACTGGCTTCAGCAAGCTGTTCAGAGAAGCTTTATCTCAAAGCTTGTCTTCCTCCTCCATGTATTACTACATCTACTCTATGATTCTTCTGCTACATGCCTCATCCTGAGTGGTTCATGACTACAGCACCTATTCTTCACTTGCCACCCACAGCAGTAACTCCAGTGGTCTGCTGCCCAGATCACATCTGCAAGAAAGGATTCACAATCTCATCCTTTTGTGTAAAAAACAGAAATTGTTTTCACCACCCCACGTTTTCTTACACTAAGCACTGCTTCATTTGCTAAAGGCAAGATGAGCAAGCCTGATAAACACAAATTAACAGCAGTTCCTCCCACTTGAACCCATCTACACACTTCACCAGGTCCAAGGCACTGCAAGGAAATTGCTGTGCTGCTTACTGTGCTATTCATCACGGCAAGCTGCAGGCTCACAAGACATCTGACAACACATTCAGCTTCCAAAGATATTTAACCTCTATTTTGTAGATAAAAGAGTAGACATTAAATTCAGCTGAAGGTGAACAGCCTGCTGCCCAGGGATGAAAAGGGCCATTCTGTGTCCATGCTCTACGTGACCACAGGCAGCTGGAGGAGGAACAGTCAGTCCTGACAGAAATTAAGAACTCCAAGCAAAAGAATCTGAAAGACAGGAGTATGTCGGGCAGCTTATGGAGAACATTATGGAGGAAATATTTGGACAAGAATCAACTTGCAGAGGAAATTCATCAGTCACATCCAAAGCCAGAGATGCACGAATGCTTTGACAACAGCAGTTAATTATGCAGACTAACGAAGCAGGTCGTGAGTGTGCTGTACACACAGAGATAGAACACACATTTCTGAAAGGCAAATGCCTCAGCTATTAAACATGCACACAAGTTATGGGTTTTTTTTTATTATTTTCACCTATAATTTCATTTATTTAGCCCAGAAAACTAACCCATTTTCAACACCTTCCATTCACTTAGCCCTTCTTACCACTGGTTTCATGAGCACTGTGCTTGCCTGGCAATTTGCTAAACTACTAAGATTTTCAATTCAGATGTATCCTCCTAAGTGGGCAGAAGTACAAATAAAGTCTGATATCTGAAAAGCCCTTCTCACCACTGGTTTCACAAGCACTGTGCTTGACTGGCAATTTGCTAAACTACTAAGAAGATTTTCAATTCAGATGTATCCTCCTAAGTGGGCAGAAGTACAAATAAAGTCTGATATCTGAAAGGATTTTCACAGCCAAATCTTTCCTCCTGTACAAACCAGGGTGAACAACTAACTCTTTAAAAATTAAGCCTACACCTAAAAGCTTT